CGTGTAAAGTCGTGCACCACTGGGAGAATCTGGAAATGCAACATTGGAACAGCCGCTTCCCTACGACTTTAAACTGGACCTAAAATGCCCCAAAAAAAGCTCTAACACTGCTTCCTGTCAAGAGTTTTATTGAATGGAGCAAAGATTTAAAGATCCAGTTATGTTTTAAAGAATCCATCAGTGGAAGCTCCATATGAGGGTCAGAGTTCATTTCATAACCAGACCAACTGATTTCAACTTCTGCTTCTTTTCAGAAATTCCTGCAGAATCCAGAATCTTCAAACACAGCTGTGAAGAAGAACTCCAGCTGAACTTTCCTCGTTTGTCATGCAGTGTGCTTTCATTTCACTCTTAGGGTCCACATTTCCATGGTTCCATGGCGTAGTTCCATTTTGTTCTTTGAAGGCAGATTTTGTTGATTGTTTTGTTGCTTCCAGGAGGAAGGAACAAAACCTGCTGCAATAATAAAATAGTTTGGTTTTCTAACCTGTTTCTCCTCCAGTTCTTTCATGGTCAGATCCTTCAAAGGCGGCTAACAGCCTTTGTTGATCATCAGGTTCCCAAAAAGATACAGACTCTAAACTAGAGATGTTGCAGCAAAGCTGATTCAGTTTAGTTCTGTAGCTCCAGTTCACAACACATCAACCACCATGACTGAACTACATGTTTGGCTTTAAGCGCTGTTTTTACTGGAACAAACGGCTGATTGTTTTATTTTATTTTTAGGCTAAGTTAGCTGCTAAACTAGAAACATTCTTAGTCTGTGGTTCTCCAAATCATTTAACAGTTTTAAAATGTTTGATGAGCTGTTAGTGGGTTGGTGCCAATTATTTGTTCTGTTTGTGCTTCTGGGTCTGATCGGATAAAGGTCCAGAACCACAGACTGGTTTCTAACAGGTGCAGAAACAGATTTTTCTACCCCTACAAATGACCAGCAGATGGCAGCAAAGAGTCAGTTTAACTCCAACTTGAACCAAACAAATCTTTACAAACCATTAGTTTGAAGTTGTTTTTATTAACAGGCACAAAGGGTTTATTTCCAGTTCCTTTTTGTTTGTCTTTTATATTTTCTTGTGATCTTTTTAGCAATTTATTAATGTGTTATAAATCCCACAGGCTTTTATTAATAAATTATGAAAAATCAAACAGCTTTGTGTTGGTTTTTTCCCTCTGGTTGAATTAATCTTTTAAAGAGTTTGTAACGGAACCAAAATTAAAAAAATTGAAAGATTTCTAGAGTCATCAAATGTTTTCATATAGTTCCAAATAGTGAACCTTGACTCGTGTGCTGCTTCTGTTTCAGGTCTGATCAGTGTTATTTTGGCTGTATTAGCATAATGCCAGATTCTAGAAAATGAAAAATGACTATCTTCCATTCATTAAAAACTAGACCTGCCATACCTCACAGCCTCTAATTAGATCTGCTTTACATAACGTTCGGAGCTGAACAGGAAGAAACCTCCAGCAGAACCAGGCTCAGTGTGAGCGGCCATCTGCTGAGGCCCACTGGGGTTCAAGGAGACAGAAGCAAA